AGTGTGACAAATTTTCAGAGGAAAAATGGAAATTGCCATGCACTGAGCATCTGTGTGCCTGGCTGAACTCAAGGGTGTGTGTCTGTGTGCATGTGCATATGCACATGTATGAAATATTTCCTAATGTAATCATCACTAGTTTTTTTTCATTTTTTCATATTGTGGTTATAAAACTTATTTATAGAATGTGAATGTTGGGAATAACATCTGTATACTTAAGTTATGCCATTATTATTGGCATTTCTCTAGTATTGCAGTATTATTCCCAAAGGTCACATGACTTGTTCTTTCTTCTTTGTCCTTGTTCACTACACTGGAGTGATTGGTGGTGTCTGCATCCTTCTTAGAAGCCAGGAAGAGGCTGTTACAGTTGTAACTAGACATACCTCCCTGAATTATTTTAGTTCTTTTTTCTCCCCTTGGAATCCTTGCCCTTTTTAATCCACCTGCAGTCCAGTACAGGTTGAGCATCTCAAATCTGCAAATCCAAAATCTGAAATGTTTAAAAATCTGAGATCTTTTGAGTACCAACATGAAACTCAAAGGAAATGATCATTCGAGCATTTCTGATTTTGGATTTTTGGATTTGGGATGCTTATCTAGTAGGTGTAACTACTTCAAAATCAACTACTTCAAAATCTGAATGAATCCAAAATCTGAATTACTTCTGGTTCTCCATGGAATTTAGATAAGGAATACTCAACCCGTATGAAGTAATCTCTGGAAACTTTGCTTTATTGTTGTTATGTCTACACTAAGAAACTTACAAGGATCTATTTTCCCTTAACTTTTATGGAGCACTTATTATGTAGCAGTCCCGGTGCTAAAGTCTCCTTTTCATGTAAAATCTCATGATAACCCTAAAGGGTAGGCATTGTTCTTATCCCCATTTTACAGATACGGAATTGGACACATGGAGAGACTAAACAGTTTGCCCAAAGTCTCACAAGCAGAGGAAGATGGAGATAAACTCAGGCTTTTGACTCCAGACCTTACTCCTAACCTCTGTCCTAGACAGTGTGCTACTGATTCAGGCATCCATGGCCTCCTGAAACCTAGAACCTGTCTTTTCTTCTAGTTTGCCTCTCGTTTGAGCCAGTGTGATAACAAGAAGAGTGAGAGCCTGGTCTTTGAAGTGAATCTGAGCTCTGCTACTTGCTAGTAATATTACCTTGGCTACTTAAGATAACCCATCCCTTCTGAATCTCCAGTTTCTCATGGAGGGAGGTGAAACTAGATATCCATGGGTAAAGAACTGATGGAGAAATTGGAGGTACATCTATAGTAGGTTTGGTGGTACAGAAAATAAGAGATGGAAGGAACAGAGAGAATGTCATAGTGTTTTTGTTTGTTTTAAAGTAGGAGAGGGCTGGGTGCAGTGGCTCATGCCTGTAATCCCAGTACTTTGGGAGGCTGAAGTGGGCAGATTGCTTGAGCCCAGGAGTTCGAGACCAGGCTGGCCAACATGGTGAAACCCTGTCTCTATAAAAGTACAAAAATTAGCCAGGCATAGTGGCACATACCTGTAGTCCCAGCTACTTGAGAGGCTGAGGTGGGAGGTTGGCTTGAGCGTGGGAGGCAGAGGTTTCAATGAGCTGAGATGTCACTGCTACACTTCAGCTTGGATGACAGAGCCAGACCCTGTGTCAGAAAAAAAAAAAAGAAAAGAAAATTAGAGGATATCTGAATCTACTTATAGGTAAAAATAAAAAAGCCACTGAGGAGCAAGGATGGAAGAAATTAATGGGGAAGTGGTGGGAATAGAAGATGGGACATATCGATGTATACTCCTCCTTTGTGATTAAAAACAAGTTTTTTGTAGACATATGATTGAAAGCTAATATAATCATAAAAATATTTTGAGTCAATATATTTTGAAATAAACTGACTATATCTTTAAGGCACATTAAACAGGTCACAGTAATGACTAAACAGTTTTTGAGATTAAATTATATTCAGGCTTTTTACTAATTCTTTTACATTTAATCTGCACCGTATTCTTGTAAGATCAGTACTTTTATTGTTCCAGTTTACAGATGAGAGGATTGAGGTATGGAGAATTTTAAGTAACTTGCTAGGGTTACATAATTAGTAGGTGGCAGAGCCAGGATGTGAACAGAGGCAATTTAACTTGGAAGCCTGCATTCTTAGTCACTATGGTATACTGCTTCCCAATTTGATTTCCTCAATTAACACTTAACTACTATTCCAAGTAATATTTTTGTCTATTTTATATCAGGGAAGGAGGACTGTTCTAAGAAATGTGTTTCCAAAGAGGATTGATACAGTACATTAGACAGAGAACCTGTTTGGAGGAAAGGCTCATTAAGAGTTACTCTAAGCCCCTACCTGGCTGGAACAGAGTGGCCTTCTGGCCATAGTTGTCCTAGCAGATCTTGCACGTGCAGACCCTGGTAAATAGCTGGGCAGAGACCATGACTTCTTGGACTGTGAAAGTTAGTTAATAGGGTACAAAAAAGAAAAAGCATACATTTCCCATTGCCTGGGAAAATAACATGTGCCAACAGCTCTCTTCCAAGATATAGAAACCAACCTGTAGCAGCTGCTCTATGTGGAGGTATTAAGTATTGTGAAAACACCTGTGTGTGTCTAATTCCAGCCCAAACAAGTCTTCCGGCTCATCAAGGTGTGGTAATAATTTACCTACATGGAGATTCTATTTCCAGTAGAATGAGTTGTCTATGTTTTCCTATAGAAATTTCTCTCCCTCCCCTCTCTAAAAAATTGAGGTATAATTTACATACAAAAAATGTATGCATAATAAGTGATTAGTGTGATAAATTTTGACAATTTGTATAACCATGCAACCACCATGCCAAACAAGAAAATCCCCTTATGTCCCTGTCTATGCAGTGCCCCTTTCTGTCCCTCTGACTTCTGTCCCCATTAGATTAGTCTTGCCTGTTCTTGTATTTCATATAAATGAAATCATACAGATATATTCTGTTGTGTCTGGCTGCAGTGTGGTGTATTCTTACAATGGAACACTTCTTTACAATAAAAAGGAATCAACTACTGACACTACAACAGCTTGAATGAATCTCCTATAGAGCTGTGCATTGAAGTTTGTAGAGTTCTTTTTTTTTTTTATATTACTTGCATAGTCTTAGTAACCAAAATGACCCACAAAATCTGCCTCTTTTACTTGCCTATCATAGTGCGTAATTATCAACTTCATTCTCCCCCCCGCCCCGCCCATTCTCTCCTATATTATCTGTGTGCCTTTAGAATGCAGTCAATTTATATTCAACTTATGGGTGATCACGATAATGACTTTTGAAAGGAATTTAAAATTGTAGAATGATTTTTTAAAAAGGAAATAAGTTAGACATGTTACATGGTTTCGTTTTAGTATTTGCAAATGTCAGGAGTAAAAGAAGCAAGGAAGCAGACCCACTCTCTCGTGGGTGGCTGTCCAGTGGGTCCTGGATGTTCATTTCATGACTACTACATGCTGCGTGCTGTGCACTTTTCATTGTCATGAGAGAGAATGTTAAGAAAACTATCCCCGCAAGAAAACAGCTTTTCTTGGCAAGTGAAATATGACTTAAGGAGCCAGAACTGGAGACATACGGTACTATGAATGAGAGCTGTGTTACTTTATTGGATCTGAGTCCAGGCACTATTTATACTGCAGCATATTCAGCACCAGATTGTTAAATCTTAATACTGAAACAGTGTATCATTTTAATATTTTTGTTCTGTTTATTCCCTGTTTTCAAGCATTATGTCAAGCATTGCGCATTCATTTATTTCGTCTTGGACAGGACGTGCCCTGACCAGAAAGTTCATTTCCTATTGTTGGAATTTTGCCCCATAGCTATCATTTTGTGAAGCTTTAAAAGTTCACTTGGGTACACAGGTGTTTTCTCTCTTTGATGATTTTTTTTTTTTTAAGAATAGTGTAGTTGGACTCACCTGTATTGTTAAAAATAAAAATAAAAATGCTGTTTTATCACTAAAACATCACTGCTTTTTATGTGTGACAATTTCTGACAACCTGGAGACCACTGGATTTTTCATCGCATACAAATAAAATTTTTGTTACCCTGTATCATATGTGAAATGGGTTCCTCTATTTTTCTTCATCAATGTTTTGTGTGCCCTGTGCACCACATAAAATGAGCCTATCTATGAATAAGTTAGCATTTTCACCATATGTTGCTGAAACCATCCCATGAATCTTCCTCTAACAAGGGTATTCCTAAAATTACTGCTCTACGTAGCCCAAATTTGAAAAGGATTTTTATTATTTTTTCATTGTTATGCATGTTTACCATATGCAGCAGGAAATCCACAGGCAAAAAGTGCTATTGTCACTCTCAAAAGAGCTGAGAAATAAAAAAAAAAAAAAAAAAAGAAAGGAAGTTGAGGGCATCTTTGCTATTTCTGATCTGTGGTCAATGACCATGGTATGGCATTTGGCCTGGGAAAGCAACCCCACTGCCTGGTGAAACACGAATATGGGAGCGAACTCTAACTGCTTCATGAGCTCCAAATGCTATTCGCACTGGGAATCACACCACAGTCAGGATGTAACTGCGTGCTGAGCCCACACACAGGAATTTTCTTGTACAATTCAAGACTGAATCTTATATTTACTTAAGGCTTACTTTTTTTTTTTTTTGGTCTATGAAATCAGCAGTCCTGTATATTTAGCATCAGACTTAAGTTAGAATGTGAAACAATTCTAGGGTGGAAGGAAGTATCCGTATGGTTTTCTAAGTAATTTAAGAAACAGGAAAACATAAAAGAACTGATTGTCTGTGATTAAACCTCATTCTTTCATTCCCATCTTCCTGTATAGTTAACTAACTCAATTGTCAGCCAGAAAGAAACAGCTTATTGCACCGGGTTGTAAAATATCTGAGAGGGCCTTGAACATTGATGATTGAATGACCTTCTTAACATTGAACAAACAATGGGAAGGTTTAATAAATAGCAGATATGTGTTTATTATGTTTTTCTTCCCTGTGCAGGAATAATCAAGCTGGGAAGGTGGAACCCTCTCCCCCTCAGTTATGTGACAGATGCACCTGACGCGACAGTGGCCGACATGCTACAAGATGTCTATCATGTTGTGACGTTGAAAATCCAATTACAAAGGTGGGTGTTTCTGAACATCTGCCTTTCCTTACTCTCAGAGCTGCTCTGTCAATCATAGATTCACTGCAAAGATCAGCTTGTCCTGTCTTTATTAATTTCTAGGCATTGGACAAAATGAAAAGAAGGAGAGAGAGGAAGGAAGGAGGGCCCTTCCCCAGGTGTCTTTATAGTCACATTCCAACTGCTTTATGCTTTGTTTTCAGAAGCTGTGAAGTGGTAACCTAGGGGCAACTTGACAAATCATTAAAAATCTATACCCCTTAAAAGAAACTTCACACAGCCCCTATTCAATGGGTCCGCTAGGCCTGCTTAAATGTGTAGCACATATAGTATCACACACACACACACACACACACACACACACACGAAGGGAGAGTTTTATTCTTGGAGATCTTTATACACACACACACACACACACACACACACACACACACACACGAAGGGGGAGTTTTATTCTTGGAGATCTTTATTTTCTGTTTCCAAGGGCCACATCAAACACACACACACAGACACACACACACACACACACACACACACACACACACACACACACACACACACACACCCCAGAACAAGATATGCCTCTAAAGAACTGGAGGTTCTTTGCAGTCTTTTATTGTAAAGTGCCTTCTAGGTGTGATTTACGGAATGTTGTCCTTTAGTGTAAGTGTTTCGAATTTTCCCCTATTGGGGCATTTATACTTTAAAAATGGACCCCCAGCATCCCCATCTGTGTCTATAAATGGGTGAGGATCTTAAAAGTTATTTTTTTGGTTCAGAAAGTTAAAACTCTGAGCCATCCTATGGGGGTGAGGGTGGACCTTCAAACTGCAAATCTGATGGGGAATGTTTGCTGACATTTAATCTTAGTCATGCCCAATAATTACATTTGTATTGGGGAAGTTTATGACCACACTGCCATGCCATTTCCATCAGCACATTGCAAAAATAATATTTTATAAAAATAGCATTTCTTGTATTGAAAGTGACTATTTTTCTTAGATGAATGGGATGACAAATTTAAAAGAGACCCCTTGGGCTCCAGCAAAGTCTTGGAGAAGCAGTTTTACTTCCCTTCCCTCACTTAGACCCCATCCTTCAGCATTTCTTCTGAAGTACACACAAGACCCAAGAGCGACTGCTGCGCTGTCTCCTCTTCAGTCAGGGGCCCTGGTTGAGGTTTGTGTATTGTTCATTCTTGCTCTGTTTTGCAGTTGTTCAAAGTTGGAAGACTTGCCTGCGGAGCAGTGGAACCATGCCACAGTCCGCAATGCCTTAAAGGAACTGCTCAAAGAGATGAACCAGAGCACATTAGCCAAAGAATGCCCTCTCTCCCAGGTCGGTATCTCCAGGTGGGGTCTGGGAAACAGAGGAAGCCAATGGTAGACTCTCTAGCAGGAGGGTTCCTTCTGCTTCCATAGCTGTCTTCTCTGTCTTTTATTTATAGACTTACACTGCATTTGAGGTGTAAAAAATGTAAAGCTTATGTTGCTTCTGGTTGTAGAACAGAAGTTACCACTCATTGGGCGGGCGTGGGGTAGCTCATGCCTGTAGTTCCAGCACTTTGGGAGGCCAAAGCAGGCTGATTGCTTGAGCTCAGATGTTCGAAACAGTGTGGGCAACATGGCGAAACCCCGTCTCTACAAAGAATACAAAAATTAGCTGGGCATGGTGGTATATGCCTGTAGTCCCAGCTACTTGGGAGGCTGAGGTGGGAGGATTGCCTGAGCCTGGGAGGTGAAGGTTGCAGTGAGCCAAGATCGCGCCACTGCGCTCTAACCTGGGTGACAGAGCAAGACCCTGGGTCTCAAAAAAGAAAAACGTTATTATTTATTGAGACTTTTGGGGTAAGGAGACAGTATTAAAACATTTTATGCATATGGGCCAGGCTCGGTGGCTCACACCTGTAATCCCTGCACTTTGGGAGGCCAAGGCCAGGGAATTCCTTGAGCCCTGGAGTTTGAGACTAGCCTGGGCAACATAGCAAGATAGCAAGACTCCGTCCCTAAAATAAAAAAATTTTAAAAATTAAAATAAACATTTCACATATACAGTCATTAATTTCTCACATATTTCATCAGAGATAGAGACCAGTGTCTCCATTTTATAGATCAAGAAGTAGAAGTTTAGAGAAGCACTTGTAGTCACTGCCTAAGCATACTAGTTGGCTAAGTGGCAGGTTGAGATGCTACTCCCGACATCCCCTTTCAAAGTGGATGCTCCAGATTGTTGTTTTACTTGGTCAGTTGAATGAGTCAGCCATGCTGAACCCATCTATGCATGAGTTATTGGCCCTTTTGCCTATCTGGTGTAGAGAGGTGATCTTCACATCATATACATTTATGGAGGTTTTGTAGTGAATTCACCACATGAAAATGCATCATGAGAAAAAGCGATACTCCATTTTTTAGTGAATGTACCATCAACTAATACAAGCCATGACAATGAGATTGAGAGGATCAGAAGAAGAGCAGTGGAGGAAAGGGCTGCTTTTTCCATTTGTGTTCATGGGCTGGGACCCTACTTTTTTCTACTGATGAGGTAATATTTTTGCCTATGGTGGCTTAGGGCTGCTGTAGAAATGAACTCAGATTGACATATTATTTGAAGCTTTGAATGAAACCTTATTTCCTGGTTGAGCTGCTACACATGATTTAGGACAATGTCTGTTAAGTTTGAGGGAAAATGATGGGAAACCTATTGCAGAAACTTGCTGTGCCATGAGCTTTGTTCCAGACTGTAAGAGAGTCTCTGGAACATAGGAGGAAGGCTATTGGTTAAGAGCATGTATCCTGGAATCAGAGCTGGATTCATGTCCTGGTTGACAAGCCTCTATAACCTTACCTTTATGAGCTCCCTCCTTTTTTGTTAGTAAGTAGTAATGGTTCTGAGTTATATGAAGAGGAATCAATGATTGGAAATCACACAAAATGTTTGGCCTAATGCCTGGCATTCAATTATGCATATAAACAGTATCAGCTATTATTATTGAGAGGTGATGTGAGCTGAATGTGTGTGTGTGTGTGTGTGTGTGTGTGTGTGTGTGTCCTTTAGAGTGTTTTGGAATTTGTATCCTCTCAAGCAAAGTATGCTATTAATATTTTTGCTTCCAAAAAAATCAAGAAGGCATGCATTCACATATAGGCAGTTAGATAGAATAGGACATTATTCTGACCTATGTTTAGGACTTTTCACACAGGCCATTTTAATACCTACCTGTAGCTATGTATGTAGGTGTTAAAGCCTGTTGCATACAAAGTTATAAAATGCATATTTTGATTATGCTGGTGATACAGAGGAACTGGATAAAGAACAAGTTAGGAAAAGCTATCAATAATTTTCCCTGAATTTCTCAATCATTCACAATTAATTTTCTCTTGCATTCACATGGAAGTCAAAATGGGCTTTGCCTGAAAGTGGGCAAAGCCTCTGACTTGATATTACCAGTTCAGAATTTTATCTAGGGCTTCTGAGGCATGCGGAAGTTTGGCCCAAACTGTTGTGTCATGACAGTCATGTTTGGTTATAACTACAAGTATAACTAGAGAGGCAACATGAGTGGGGAGAATCCAGATCAGGAGCCGAGAGCCCTGGGCTCTAATCTCAGTTATTTTATGCCAGATATGTTATCCTGGGCAAATCCATCCACTTCTCAGAGTCTTGTTAAACTCATCTGTAAGCTGGGCATCACGGTATCGGCGTATTTCACATAGTTCTCAGGGTTGTCTTGACGTTCAAATGAGATCATCTTTACGCCTATCATAAAAACCTCTCTCCCCCTCCACTGTCTGCTCTCATGGTTTACCCACGTGGTTGCCTGACCTAAACAGTTCCTTCTCCTTCATTCTTCTGTTTTATCCTATGGTTTCTACCACTTCTCCGTCTAAAATATTTTTCTCCTGTGCCACTGCCTTGTTTATCCTTTCATAACCTATCATCTAAATTATTTCCCATCTTCTTGCCTGATGACTTTTCTCCTGCTGCCTGATTCTCCTGTGTTCCTTGTTTATAATCCCCCAGTGACTCCCCCTACCCAGACTATAAGAAGTAGGACTCCATAGCATAAGACCATCAGGTTGACACTGTTCAGCCTTATTTTTCACTAGAGCTAACTTCTCGCCTCTTCCTGTGCTCATCCTGTATTCCAAACACATGAAATTAATTATTCTGAAATGTTTACCATTGCTCAGACTTTACCAAATATCTCTTGAGAGTGGGAGCAACCGAACTAGTATAGCATTACAAATCTAACAAAGCCACCTTCTGTGTTATCTTAAAAATTAATGCCAAGTTTGTATTCTAGTCCATATACCTATGTGTTTTTGTTTTTGTTTTTTGTTTTTGTTTGAGATGGAGTCTTGCTCTGTTGCCCAGGCCGGAGTGCAGTGGCATGATCTTGGCTCACTGCAACCTCTGCCTCCCAGGTTCAAGAGATTCTTCTGCCTCAGCCTCCTGAGTAGCTGGGACTACAGGCACATACCACCATGCCCAGCTAATTTTCTGTATTTTTAGTAGAGATGGGGTTTCATTGTGTTACCCAAGATGGTCTCAATCTCCTGACCTCATGATCCATTCTCCTCGGCCTCCCAAAGTCCTGGGATTACAGGTGTGAGCCACCACGCCTGATCCCTGTGTTTTAAATATTTTTTAAATGCCATAAAATTATTTTACCTGTTAAGTTAGTCATCTCCTTCTTTCCACATGAGACTGGTTCTTCAGAAAGATGTACCTTGTTAATCTCTGGCTTTGGAAGCCCCTGCACACAAACCTGGTGACTCTAGAATCCTTCAGTTTGACACTTGTTTGCTTTTGCACACGATCTCACCTGGCTAGAATGTACTACTCTTTTCTACTTGATGAAATTATCTTTCAGATTCCAGCTGGAAAGTTACCGCTAGTGAAGTGCCTCAACCTTCTGGTTGAAGTAGTTGCTTCATCTGCTCTTAGTAGCCTTTTGTAAATACCCCTGTCACAGCACTTAGCCTGTTGTCATTGTAACTTGTCAGTTTCCATCACTAGCTGGACTGTCCACAATAACAGAGGCCACCTCTTATTGATTTTTGTGCCATCACCATTCAGCATAATGTATATTTTGCATGTAGTTGTTACTATAATGCAGGATAATTGGATAATTACATATTATGTAATTATATATATGTTTATATATATAATTATATACATGTCATATAATTATAATGCAGGATCCTATAATGCAGGATAACCTTTTGGCAGTACTTCTTTGTGGTGGGGGCTGTCCTTGCATTGCAGCATCCCCATCCGTTACCCACTAGATGCCAGTAGCATGCCACTATACCCCTGCCCCCAGTTGTGACAACCAAAATGTCTCCATTGGACATTGCTAAAGGTCCCATGGCAGGAGCAATACAACTCTCAGTTAACCACTCCCCTGATGTGCTTAATGAATTAAGTATAAAAATGTTTCAGAAAATATAGTTTTCTTAGTATGTAAAGTTAAAGTTTTATTATTATTACAATGTTCTTGGCAGCTCCAAAACATTTTGAACTAGAAACGTAAACAGAATAATTTGGTGATTGATGCCCAGCACATTTCAGTTAAAGAGGAGCTCAGTTCTGTTGTTTAGATTTCGGGGAGATTCGATTTAGGCTTCTGATACATTGTGTGGTTATGGAAAATCTCACTGGGATAGTTCTTGTCAGCCAGCATGGATATGTAATGTGACCCTGGCATTCATTCTGTGGTCGTTACCCTTAAATATTCCAGATTATTCACTTAAATTGCATAGCTAGATTGTATTTTAGTGTGGAGAAAAGCTTGCCCATTTTGTTGGCGGTTGTCACAGAACAGGTGCATGCAGTTTTTGAAGTTCAGCCTATATAAAGTGAAAAAGAATGCATTTTTGTTCTAAGCAAGGTGAAGCAGTAATCCAACAGTTTACTTCCACTGGCATTCCTGGAGTTCTGATTAAGAATCAGGCACTTTGCAATGGCTGGGGATACAACAATGAAGCTGAGCGGAACTAAATCCCTTTCAATATGGGAAGAAAGAGAGTGAGGCATCCAGTACTACTCACCTTAGGTGAGAAAGTTGACTTGTTGGGTTTTTCAAAAATAGATTCAACTCATGAGTAAAAGATTCCTGTTGTTGAAATAATTGTTCCTTATTACCCCCAAGCCAAACTGTATTAGGTGTTTCTTCACTCGAGTTTGGCAATTTCATAAAGGAATGATTTAGTGGATAGTTCATACTTTCTTGAACACCCCAGTGGTCTGAAGTTCAAAAGAGCAGCCCTGAAGGCAGAAGAAAGGTATGGAGAAGTCCATAAAAGTGCAACAATTGTAGCCTGAGGTATATATAT